CATTTTGTTTTGCTGGGACTGTGGGAGGAATTTTGGAACTCTGGGTTAGAAAAGCTGTTGAGCACTCAGAGATCAGCAGGCTAATGCATGGGAGCTCAGAATATGAGAATGTTGAGAGCCTGAGGCCTGGACTGTGAACTCCCAGAAGGAAGTCTGAGAATCGAAGACCGGCAGGGCCGTTGTACACTTTGAACTAAGAACCACTAAAGTGAAATCTTTGCTTTGCCTGAACAACTGATGTCGGGTAGCTGGGGCCAAGAAATTAGCATTGATTAAAAAGAGAGCAATAGTTAAGTGTGGTGGCTCATGTGTTTAATCCCAGCACCCAGGAGGCAGAGGCAGGTGGATCTCTGCGAGTTAGAGGACAGGCTAGTCAACACCGTGAGTTCAAGGCTAGCCAGGACCTTTAGAGAGAGACGCCGTGTCTTAAAAATCCAGGGAGAGACAGACAGCATCTCATTAATCACAGCTGGTTCTCCAGCCCCAGCTAAACAGAAATATAGATTCTTAATTCAAAGTCCTGCTTGCACGCTCCTGCCTTCAGTCCTAGCCCTGACCTCCTTCTGTGATGACGAACTAAGATCTGAAATAAACTTTCCTCCCCAAGTACGTTTGCTTAAGGTGTTTTATCACAGCCATGAAAACCCGCATTTGGAACACATAGATTATTTTGAAAAGCTATAAGGAATCCTCAGGCAAGTAAAAATAAACAAATTTAAAACAAACACAAAATGAATAAAAGTGAAAATGTATACGGTAACAAAATTACCCAATGAAGCTTTGAAGAATAGAAATCTGTACTTATATACAATTTCAAAAATATAAAATAATTTATAACTTTTTATTATTAAGTTTTGAAACATGAATAAAATAAATGATTTTTAAGAAAATGTAAATTATTCAAGTTGACCAAAAAGTGAGAGAATTGCAAAAGGCAGGAGGACGCTGAAAGAAATGAGAAAGCTAAGGAAGAGCCCCCTGCTGCAGGTGAGGCCCGATTTCCCATGGGAATTTCTCCAAGGCTTTGTGAGGAATGAAAATTTCCAGGGCTACTTAAATTGTCCTAAAGGAGGGAACCCTCCACATTTACTTGACTATGCTGGAATCTACATTCTATATGAAACAGAACTAGGAATTCAAAAATAATTCTAAGTTATGGGTGCAAGGGGTGGGAAAGTAGTTCCTTCGTGGTCCTTGTTAAACATGTGCAAGGTGGATCGCAGGCCTGATTGCCAGGACCACAGAAACAGGGCCTGGTGGAGAGGAGGAGGAGGAGAAGAGAAATAAAGAAACTTTGGGGGAGTTGGAGAGACGGGTTGGCCATGCAGAGTGCACACTGCTCTTACACAACACCCAGGTTTGTGTCTCGGTACCCATGTCCGATGACTCACAACCGCCTGGAACTTCAGCTCTAGGGGATCCAACTCCCTCTTTTGGCCTCCTTAGGCATGCACATACACATGCATACATATATACACACACATACACACACCACAACACATACACACAGAAGGACATATGCATAAATTATAAAACGGGTGTAAAAATTCTTAATAAAGTACTAACAAGCAAAATGCATACTCAAAGACCAACACAGCATTAGCAAGCGAGACTGATTCTAAGAAATGTATTATGGCTGTTAGTCACCTTTTATAACAAGTAAAAACAGAAAATAAGATGATCTAATAAATAGTTATGCCACTTGATAATAAAATAATAAAAAGCAACATACATTATTTCTGAATTGTCCCTATTTGCACTTACAAAAATAATCCAGAATTATCCTATTAAAGTGAAGATTAAGATAAGGATAGTCACTAGTTACTGATTTAAGTAACTAAGCATGGCCATGTTATGAGATAGAGAAATATTGTAGTAGTGAAGTTACAGATAACATGTACCTAAAAAGCTAAAGGAATTAACAAAACACCTGTTGGAACATACGAGCACTTAATGAAGTATTTGTTCTTCAAGTGAATGTTTTTATAGAGACAACTAACACAAAGGGGAACTGCTGAACTGCTTAAAGTAACTAGGAGCAGATATAAACCATGTAGGCCTGGGTAGTGTAGAACAGAAAGCTGCACAAGAGGCAAGGAGGCCCCTTAAAAGCAGTTCATTTCTAGATCAGAAGATCCAAGTTATAAATGTGGTGATATAGGAAAAATTCTAAACATTGAATTTTCCAACAGAGTATCACAGGGGGTTCATGAGCATGTAGGTATAGGTGTGTGTGTGTGTGTGTGTGTGTGTGTGTGTGTGTGTGTGTGTGTGTGATGCTTGTGTGCGGTGATGCTTGCATTTGAATGTGCAGATGTGTGCACACGTACATGCAGAGAGCAGAGACATCAGGTGTCTTTCTCTACAATTACCTGTCTTGTTACCTTGAAACAGGTTCCCTCACTAAACTGGAGGTTCACTGTTTCTCATAGGCTAACTGCCTGGCCAGCAAGCTCTGAGAATCTGCCTGTCTCCACTCCCCAGGGCTGGCGTCATAGCATAGTTCTTTGCATGAGTGCTAGGGATTCGAACTTAGGTCCTCACACTTTCAGAGAAGTGCTCTTACCCACTGAGTCATCTTCCCATCCCTCTGTCAGAGGGTTTTGTCTGGGGACTTTAAAATAAGTCTGAGTTCTACAGAGAGAGATTAATATTTGTGACGCAGGACAAAAAGGAAAGTGAGGCAGAAGAAATAAACACGGAGACCTGCCAGCTGGAGTAGAACTCAAAAGTACATTCTCAGAATTGAGACTCTGACATTATAAAGATATCCCTTCGGGGCTAGGGAGGTGGCTCAAGTGTTAAGAACACTGGCTGCTCTTGCAGAGGACAAGGGGTCTGTTCCCAGGACCCACAGTGGGTGACTCACGACTGTCTGTAACGCTAGTTCCAGGGCATCCCACACCCTCTTCTGGCCTCCAAGAGTGCCTGCATGTACATGGTGCAAGGCACACATGGATGGAGCAGACTAGAAAATTATCTCAATGCAAAGGACAAACATAGATATGCTCTGAGCCTGCAGAAACATCTTCCCGATCTGATCAGCACGTGCATCCTAGTAGAGTCTACAGTGAGACGAACAGCAACGACCAGAACTAGGGAGGCCAAGGTTGAACTAGTGTGCGTCACAGTCAAGGCACTTTTGTTTTTGTTCCTACCACTCAGCAGCTTCTGAAGCAGCAGGAAACTTAATTTTCATCATTATTTCAAAACTTACATGATGGCTTTCAAAGTTTCACTGGAAATTAAATCATATTTAAAACAAACAGCAATTGTTTCGCTGTAACGCCTTTCTCATCTCAGCCATGCATTGTAGCTCTATTTTTCGTGAATGTGTGTGTGTGTGTGTGTGTGTGTGTGTGTGTGTGTGTATACATACGGTATGCATATGTGCAGATATGTGTACTGGTATGCTTGTCAGCGTCTGGGCATGTAGAGGTCAGATATTGATGCTAGGTATATTCCGATGTCATGTGCCACATTACTTTTTGAGACAAGGCTCTCGCTAAACCGGGAACTGATTTCCGGCTGCACTGACTGGCCAGCAAGCCCCCTGTGATCAGCATGTCTCCGCCCTCTGCCCTATACCCATCCCTAAAGCTGATGAGCATGCATCCAGACTCAGCTTTCCCTGGATGCCGGGGATCCAACTTCAGGTCCTCATTTTGAACGGCAAGTACTTTACCCATAGAGCCATCTCCGCAGCCTGCTCTGTGGCTTTATATGATGTTGTAAAACTTCATACAAAGAAAGGCTGATCATTTACATGAGCACTACAATAATTTAACAGCAAAAGACAGACTCTTTCCCACCCACTCCCTTCATGTCCCTCCCTTATTCCCCCTGGTCTTTCTATATAGCCCAGGGTGGCCATGAACTCAAAATCCTCATGCTTCAGCTATCCATGTGTCAGGACAGGGATTAAGAGAATGGGACTCTTAATGTTATTTCTTTATACTGCTCAGTTATATCTCAGTCCAAACCTTTTACCTTTTTACCAGGAGAGGAGGGCTTAAAAGGCTTCAAGAGGGACTCCTTCTTTTCTTCCCTTTTGAATGGAGGTAAAGGATTCTCCAGAAAATAAGGGTTATTATCAAAATATTCCTTAGGGTGAAGATTCAACTTGAAAGGGGCCCCTTTGAGTAGCCGATGATGTTCTTCATTATCTTTCTGTAAATTGAAGAGTTTGAACGTACACAATGTAAGTTATACATGTTAGACATAATTCAAGGCTAAAATCACCTTTTAAATTAATTATACATGTAAAAAAAGACATGCCTAATTATGAATAAGTGTAACTCTCATTTTGAACAGAATTCATTTAGATACAGCAATCTATCACGTGAACAAACCCTTACTACATACCTGGACAGCAGGAAGGAAAAGGATTGGTCTCCAAGTCAAATCCCAGTTCCTTTTTGCTTTTTAGTATTTTTTTTTCAGGAGTTAAAGGAAGCTGCTGACCTTTGGTGTCATGTATTCAAGTGTAAATAAGAATACTATTTCCCTTTGACATTGTTAAAGATCAAATGAGATTATGTAGAGAAAATATTTGGCACATGGTTGGCTCTTCGTAAATATCAGTTTTAGTCCTAAGCACAAAAAAAATACCCAGTACTTCCACTAAAACATTTTTATATCATAGTATTTTTAGCTACCTAATACTCAAGCAAAACAAAGGTTATTTTTTCAGTTTTATATTGTAATCCTTTCCATGTGGAAGAACTAAGTTTAAAAATTGCCATCTCTAGATATAATAGCAAACAAACTATTTGTGAAATAAGATTTAGAAGGATAAAATATTGATTTTTTTTCACTTTACACACATGGAATTTGACATTTCATCCTTTAACAAACTGAATGGAAACAATTTAAAGGAGATTGAAGTGCTCAAGAGAAGGCATGTATTCCCTAGTAGGCTGTATTAACTAGTTCTGTGCCAACTTGCCACAAACTAGGGCCATTTGGAAAGTGGGACTCTCAGTTGAGAAAATGCCTCCATAGCCTTGTCCAGTAGCATAAAAACAGACACACTGATCAATGGAATTGAACTGAAGATCTAGACATAAGCCCACACATCTTTGAACACCTGATTTTTGACAAAGAAGCCAAAAGCACACAGTGTAGAAAAGACAGCATCTTCAACAAATGTTCTTGGTTAAATGGGATGACTGTGTGTAGAAGAATACAAATATAGCCGTATTTATCACCCTGTACACAATTCAATTCCAAGTGGATCATGAACCTCAAAATAAAACCAGATACACTGAGCCTGATAAAAGAGTAAGTGGAGAATCGTCTTGAATTTCTTGGCACAGAAAGGAACTTTCTGAACAGAACATCGACAGCACAGCCACTAAGAGCAACAACTAATAAGCAAGGCCCCATGAAGCTGAAATGTATAGAAATAGGCATGATATTTCAGGCAAAGCTGCAGTCTACAGAATGTGAAAAGACCTTTACCAATTATACATCTACTAAAGGATTATTATTTAAAACAAATAAAGAACTACAAAATCTGAACATCAAGAAAACAAGCAAGCCAGTTGAAAAATGGTTAATAGCATTAAGCAGAAACACAAATGGCTGAAGAACTTACACTACCTTTAGTCATCGGGGGATTACAAGTTAAAACTACTTTGAGATTTCATAGTACCCTAGTCGGAATGGCCAAGATCAGTTAAAAAAGTAATAGTTCATGCTGGTGAGGCTGTGTGTAAGGGGCACACTTATCCATTGCTGGAGGAGTGCAAACTTGTACAACCATTATGGAAATTAACATGGTAGTTCCTCAGGAAGCTGGGAATTGGTCTACCTCAAGACCACTCCTGGGCATATACTCAAAGGACTTTTCCCCCTACTGTAAGGACACTTGCTCAGCCATGATCATTGCTGCTCTTTACATATTATTTAGAAATTGGAAACTCTAGAAGTCCATCAACTGATAAATGAATAACAAAAGTGTGGTGCATTTACACCATGGAATATTATTCAGCTGTTAAGCAATATGAAATTCTCAGGTAAATGGATAAAACTAGAAGAAGAAAAAAATCATCCCAAGTGATGTAACCTAAACTCCAAAGAGACAAATATATGCGTTCTCTTCCAAGTAGATGTTAGGTTTTAAGTCTTCCAATGTGAGCGCTACAATATGAATGGCCACAAAGGTTAGGTACCTAATAAGGAACCAGCATGGAGGAGAGGAACTCCAAAGGAAGAGGAAATAGAATATATTGTTAAGGAGAGACAAAGGGGAAACTAGAATAGGAGGATTAACTAGGAAGGAGATGGAAGTGAGGGGTAAAGGAGAGAAAAGGGGGAGAGAGAACTAACAGTAAAGGCCATTTGAAAGGCCATATAGAAACCTACCACTATAGAAGCTTCCTAAAACACATACATACATGAAAAAAAGCTAAGTAGGATCAACAAATAACAGGAGAAACAGAGCCCCACCAAATATCTTATGCTACCAAAATCTCCAACGACAGAAATGAGCATCTTATTGAGATATTGACCAAAGGGGCCCCATGTAAAGCTCTGAACAGTACAGATTATTGGCAAGGCTATATGTGTTACTCTTTATGATGTGTTGGCAAGGCCCTATTGCTGGAGACAAGACTTACAAATGTCATCAAAACCTAAGAAGTTCAGCTGGTTCCTAATTACAAGCTTCACCTAACTAATATTCATGGTACAGGAAGGTACTCTGCATGCTATGGGAGGAAAGATATTATCATTAAAATCTCCCAGCTACAAACCCTGTGACCTATAACAGTGATCTCCCTCAAAAATATATGAGTGCATTAGTGGCACATATATTTTGGGTGTAACCAACAACTTTCTGATTGGATTTAAGGCCATTCAATGAGATGGAATCCATTCCTTACACCGTTAAAGTGGCCAAGAATCTATATAGGTCATCTGTCTAGGGGAAAACCCAATATTATTATTCTGCTAAATGAACATAGCAATAAAATGACTCTTAAATGGTAAAGTGCCCTCCCCATAGATCAGGGGCTTGTCCAGCCCTCATCAGAGAAGCGTCTTCTTATACTGTATTTTAATTAAACAGATATCCACAACTTGAAAGTGTATAAAGAGTGAGAGACTTTGGAGTACTTAGTCCTAAATGGGATGTCTTCATCAAAGCCCTTCTCTCATGGCTTAAGGAACCTATGCAACAGAGGAGACAGAAAGATTGAGAGCCATAGGTGACGGACGACTCCAAGGAAACAGAGTCTTCCAGACACAACAGGACAGGTGTACATATGAACTCAGAGACTGCGGCAGCAGTCACAAGTTCCTACACAGGTTCAAGCTGGATGGATTCCAGCAAGGAGAGAGAAAGTGGACATGGCCTCCCTAGAATCTAGAAACTATCTGCATTTGATACCTGCTGGCAGAGATAAAACCAGTCTTCTCCAATGAAGTGTCAGTGGCTATGTCAACCATACTTCAAGGCGGGCCCCATTCCCAGGTGTTGCCAACCAACACAAAATGAACTCAATGGGATGTTCGTAGTCACTGTGCTTTGTTTAGGTGATTGATCTTTAGATTGTTTGACCTCCATTTTCATGGATTTGTCAGTTTTGGGTTGGGTTTTTTTTTTGTTTTTGTGGTTTTGTTTTATTTTGTTTTGTGTGCATACATGTGCTTCTTGATTTGTTTGTTTGTTTTAAAGCAGTGGTTCTCAACCTTCCTAATGCTGCAACCCTTTAATACAGTTATGCTTATTATGGTGACCCCTCCAACCATAAAATTATTTCATTGATACTTCATCACTGTAATTTTTCTACTGTTATGAATTGTAATGTAAACATCGGATATGCAGGGAATCTGATACACGACCCTAAAGGGGTTGTGACCCACAGGTTGATAGCCACTGTTTTAAAGAGTGAGGACATAAAGTTGGGTACGTAGGGAGGTAGAGATGAGCTTGGAGGAACTGAGAGAGGGGGAAACATCATCAAAATATATGAAGAAAAACATTTTTTTTCAATTGAAAACAAAAAATTGGCCAGTAGGCAACTCTGTGGTACATTTTACTAATTAGTGATTGATATTGGAGCTCATTATGAGTGGTGCCACCCTTGAGCTGGTGGTCATTCCTGAGGACTATAAGAAAGCTGGCTAAGCAAGCCAGTAAGCAACATCATTTTTGCTTCAGTTCCCACATCCAGGTTCTGGCCGCATTTCAGTTCCTGCCCTGATATCCCTCAGTGATGGTGTGTGACCCGAGAGTTACAAGTTTAAATAACACCTTCCTCCCCAAATGCCTCAGAGCAACAGAAACCCTAAGACAGACGTGCATGCTGCCTCTCAGAGTTCTTACTCCTCTTGGTGTCTCCATTTCCCTGTAGAACTTTGTGAGTTCTTAACCACCTGCCCTCCTCTTTCCACGCTGGAGCAGTGGTATTGACCTTTGAGCTATTATATGTACCCTTTGAACAGTACTCCTTAATATTTAGTTCCCATGACAATCAATTGATAATCCATCCAGATTATAAATCACCAAGACCTTCCCTCAAAGACCCCTGATTACACTGACCCACTCTGAGGTCTTTTTAATCAGAAATGTTAACAGTCACCCTATGTAATTCTAATGCCTGCTATTATAATGGAATTTTTAAAAATGTGTTGGATGTTTTGCCTACGTGCACATCTGTTAACCACTTGCATGCCTATTAACAGAGGCCAGAAGAGGATGTGGGATCCCCTGGAACCAGAGTTACAGGTGGGTGTAAACTGCTATGTGAATTCTGGGAATCAAACCTAGGTCTCCTGGGAGAGAAGCCAGTGCTGTCAACCACTGAACCATCTCTCCAGTCCCACGTGGCAACGTTTTAAGGATCCTGTTTACTAGACTGTGGTCATGTTTTATCAGAACATTGTATTTGATTTTTGATTTACTAACTGCTGACTTAGAATATTGCGGACCAACACACAGATACCCCCGTGATCAAAATAGACAGAAACAAAATAAATTTTTATTGTGAGTTAATTTTCAAAGTTGAACAGATAAAGGTTGAAAGGTTCAAAACAGGCGACTTTACCTTGTAATTCAGTTTGGCAGCATCATATAAGTCGGCAGAGTGTGAAAGCTGCTTGCCTATGGTAATATTGGCATAGCTAGAGAAGGAGCACATAATGGTGAATGCAGGGCTCAGGTGATTTTCTAAGCAAAAAGATATATATATATACACACAGTACCAAGAGTATCTTACCCATATCCAGTTCCTTTTTTTCCTGGGTTGGTGTATAAATTCTTCCCAGGTGGCTGATATTTGTCCCTGGGTTTTATCTGTGCACTGAAGAATGGGACAGGGCCACCAATTGTTCCATAATAGCTTCCTAATCCACTTCTTCAATGTCATATGGAGTTTTAAAGGGGGAGATATTAAAACATCAAATTTCATTTATATATTCACCACAAATTATAAACACATTTTAAAGCATTGAAAAAAGCAGAAAATCTGGTTAGATTGCCTGACTGCACTGGGTATGTGTTTCCTCCTGTGGGGTGGTCCTTAAATCCAATCAGAAATCAATTGGTTATCCCTATAAGTCATGCCACTGTTGAACCCATGGCCATATCTCGCACAGTGGCCATTATTGTAGGTCATAGCTGGATAAGACTGCTGATGACGTTTTGCCCACAACAGGTTACATAGCACTCCTTGATACGGAGAGTTGGTCATCAGAAAGGAAGTTTCCTGGTCAGTACCATCTTAATTTCTCCATGTTCTCTGATTCATGCATATTTATAAAAAGAGTTTAGTTACAGTAACCCTACATAAGGAATAACGTTCCCCCCAGAAGCCATAGGTTGTCAAATAAAAAGTCCTGTGTCAGGTATGGGATACCACCCTTCAGCTTCTGAGTCAGGACTGTCCCAGAGAGCCCTGCAAACAATACAGCCTCTTGCCCCTGCTCTTGGAAATCTACCAGAACTCGGTGGTTTAGACCCTATTGCTGAACATACATGAATCATAAAACATGGAGAAATTAAGTTGGTACTGTCCAGAAAGCTTCCTTCCTGATGACTGGCTCTCAGTACCAAAGGTGCTATGTAGCCTGCTGTGGGCAAAAAGCCATTAGCAGTCTTATCTAGCTATGAATTACAATAAAGACCATTGTGGCAAGACATCCCCATAGGTACCATGGTGGCATGACTGTCATAGGGGTAACCGACTGATTTCTGGCCGTATTTAAGGTCAGCTCCTCAAGAGGAAATATGGCTGGTAGAGTAAATCTAGCCAAGAATCCATGGTAGGAATCTCACAGCTTATGGCTAACATAGATGAGAATAATGGGTTAATATAAGTTATAAGAGTTAACAAGAAGCCTGACCTAATGGGCCAATCAGTTTATAACCTTATGGAGTCCTGTGTGTAATTTCTCTTTGGGATTTGCCGGCTGTTGGGGTACCGGGCGGGACAGAAACCCCAACAAGCCGGCCCTCATGTTACACACAGCTCGTGGGGTGAATCTATGACTAATTTCTGCTAAATATACATAGGATCGACCTGCTCTCTAAATTTCTCTCTATGTTCCTATAGATCAGTGCAGCCCTCAGACATCCAGCCGAGAAATGTCTTTCTGCAGTGGACCGTGCTTAATTCAGAAACTCACAGCTGGTCCAAATGCAGAAAAGAAGTGGCCACAGAGCACTTATCCACAAATGGGGCATGCGCGGGACCACCTCACCGCAAGGCTCAGCAACCATCTCAGGACAGGGACAGAAAGACTGTAAGGGTCAGAGGTCAGAGAGGACCCGAGCCAGTGTTTCTGGACAGGGCAGAACCACTGCACTCCTGAACTCAAAGCATCTGGGGCTGCCTGTACAAGACAGCCACGAGATCAAGCCAATTGACACTGTAGCACGGAAGGGAAAGAGCTCAGAGCTTCACCCCTGAGAATCTACGGACAGTTGGCTTCTGGGAAAGGAGAATCGGTTTTCTTTAAGGTGTGGTCCCTAGTGAGTCCACCAGCTCCAGGTGATGTCCCCACACCCAGGAGTATATGGGCAGCACAAACTGAATCCTCGGGTTATATAAAAAGGAAAAGAGGACACAAGGTTGAGAGGTTAGAAAAATGGAAGATGGGGTGGGGGAAGGACAAACATATTACGTGAATTTCTCAAGGAATTAATAAAATATCACATTTATAGAAGATTACCCGTTAGAAGGAAGTCTAAACTATAGAAATGGAGTTTCACTAATTTCAAGTATATAAGAATAAAAATAGTGTTGATCACTCCTCATCTACCATCAATTCTAAACTCAGAAAAATCAAACTTATAAAGTGTGAGTGAAAAATCAAGTTTTAAATTTTAGTTATATAACGTAATAGAGCATATAGTCTTGTGATTTAAATTTTAGTTATATAACGTAATAGAGCATATAGTCTTGTGATTTAACGGAAAGGGGGTAAAAGAACTTTCACTTTGACAGCTGCTATAATCCAAATACAATGAATCAGTGATAAATTATTTTCTTTGTCTAAAAAGCATTTCTCTTCATTTCACAGTAGTATTTACAATTTTTAGAAGCAGAAAAAAAATACAATGACATAAACATGGTGACCCAAGGCATTTTCCATCATCGTTTTTGCAAAATTTTTGCAAAAATGTATCTTCATTATCTAATTGGCTTTTATTAAATAAACTAGTAGAGAACAGTGACCCAGATAATAAAAAAAACTAATGTAGAAAGAGCTATTTAAAGTTGCATGTCAATCTGTGTCACACAAAATAACTGTCTCTACTAAAGACAATCATAGTTCAAAATTAAGTCCCACAGAGAAGCATTCACTTTAAAGAGAGAAAGCGGGAGCGAGATAACGTATTTTCACGCAGCACTTACGGTTTTTTCTCTCCACTACTAGGGACGAAGGCTTTGCCGAGGTTTTTCTTGGCTTCTGCCATCATATGCCGCCTCCTTATTTGGTTCAGGCTCACATAGCCTTCCCCTTCAAAGACCCTTGTGAACTGGGGCTCGAAGTACCCAGCCTGGAGATTGGACATTACCTTCGATCCCCCGGGTAGCATCTGTCTATTTTTGCTTGCAGCCTCATTAAAGGGGCCTTTAGAAATAAAGAGCATTATAATCTCGACTTCAATACCAATCAAAGGGCATTAAAATGAAAGCAGAAAAACTCTCAAGATGATGAGCCAGTTAAGAGTTTCAGTCGTAAAACACTAAAAAGATGGCATGAAAAAGGGACATCAACAGTAAAACCTAAGAGGTTTTCATGAAAACGTTTGAACATTTGGGTGGAAGTGGGTTTCCTGTTTGTTTTTTAACTTGTCTTTTGTTTGTTTTCTTTTGGTTTGTTTTTTGAGACAGGGTTTCTCTGTGTAGCCCTAGTGTTCCTGGAACTCATTTTGTAGACCAGACTGGCCTCCAACTCAGAGATCTGCCTGCCTCTGTTCCTGGAGTGTGGTGTGGGAGGGGGAGATTAAAGGTGTGCCCAGTGGAGATGACGTCTCAAACACTTTCAACCTCATGAGTGAGACCTTAAAACAATGGTTCTCAACCTTCCCAGGGCTGTGACCCTTTAATGCAGTTCCCCATATTGCGGTGACTCTCAACCAGAAAATTATTTTCATTGGTACTTTATAACTGTAATTTTGCTACCATTATGAATCATAATGTAAATATTTTGGGAGAGAGAGGTTTGCCAAAGGTGTGGCGACCCACAGGTTGAGAACCTGTTTCCGGCCTTAAAAGCTCATCTACCCAGTGGTCCCCATGAACAGTACAAACAGTGCTTATGTGTTAATATCAGGAAGGGGACATTCCACACTCACATTGAAGCAACCCTGTCCTAGGTGTTTCTTAAGATGCTTAAGTGCCTATGTTCACTAAGAGCCCAGAATGTTCATTTTCATTTTTAATGAACATAAAAAACAGCCCAAGTTCTGTCTAAATAATCAGTTTTCAAGTATCACATTTGCACAACAAAATAATGCAGTCTAGGAATTTATTCAAAGGCCACTTTTTGTGAATATGTAAATTTTCACAATTTGAATCTTGAAAGCCTAAACTTCCAAACTGTAAAGAATTTTTTAAGGTATACACGACCCTAAATGTAAATTTGCTTACTCATTTTGGTAACTGAAATTTTTGTTTTGTTTTGTTTTTTGTTTGTTAGAAACGAGGTCTCACTATGTATCTTTGACTGGCTTGGGATTCTCAATGTAGACCAGGCTGGCCTTGGACTCATAGCGACCCACCTGTCTCCTGTTAGTTTACATTTTTGAAAAGATTACACAGTACATATAATCTCAAATCCTACCATGCAGACATCTTAATGCATCTTTCTTGCTGTGGTTGGTTGCCTATTTTCCTTTCACAGATAACGGTACTAATTTCGTCATCCAGAGACTAGCTAGATATTCTCATGAATATTGTGTACCACTTTTTTTTTTATCATCGATGCTTAGCATAATACATATACTACTCTTATACCTTGACTTTCTAGTTAATCATTTACCTTGGACATGTTTCTATATCAGTTAACTTTTCGTTAAACAAAATCCAAGACTTTGAAAGCATATATTTATATTTTTTTTTCTTGAGGTGGGATATCCTGTAGCCCAGGCTGGCCTTAAACTCCCTATCATTCTGCCTCCACCTCCCAAGTACTAGGATTACTGTAATGGACCACCACACCCAGCTAACTTAGATCTTTTTGTTATGACTTTTCTTTAAAAAGAAATCTTGCAGCTGTTCAGTTAGTATTTTATTTTTCAGACAAGCGATGCCATCCATGGATTCAAATGTTTCTGTAGAATAGTGTTCCATCTAAGACAAAAAGCTAAACATGGGGTAGGAGAGATGAGTCAGTGGTTAAGATCACTTGCTGCTCTTGCAGAGGTCCTGGGTTTACTTCCCAGAACATCAGTTTCCAGAGAATCAGATATCTCCTTCAGACTTTCATGGACACCAGGCACGCATGTGGTGTACCTACATACATGCAGTCAAATACTCATCCACATGAAATAAACCAATAAAAATTTAAAAAGTTAAAAGTGCAACACACTAGAAGGAACTTTCCATGGAAAGAAATAAAATTACCCATGAAGAACAAATGAAGGTGGGGCTAAAGAGGCAGTTCAGTGGTTAAGGACACATTTCCCAGCACCCACATGGCAGCTAATAATCATCTGTAACTCCAGTTCCAGGAGATCCAACGCCCTCTTCTGACCTCCCCAGGCATATGCATGAATGTGGTACACAGACACACGTGTGGGCAGTATACCCACACACACCCAATAAATAAATAAATAAATAAATAAATAAATAAATAAATAAATACTACTTCCAAAAATTTTTCAAAGAATAAGTGAAGGTAAAGGAACCCAGCTCTTATCAAATTAAGCCATTCCGAACTCCGCTTCAATGTCAAAGCTGCCAGTGTCATAATGTCAACGCTAGAACTCGATGCTCTAAAATATATGCCCATAAAAATATAATATTGCCAGACATGGTGGCACACACCTTATCCCAGAACTCTGGAGGCAGAGACAGGTGAATCTTTGGGCATTCAAGGCCAACCTGAGCTATATAGCCAATTATAAGACAGCCAGAGACTGACTCTCTCTCTCTCTCTCTCTCTCTCTCTCTCTCTCTCTCTCTCTCTCTCTCTCTCTTCATATGTGTGTGTATTATATGTGTGTGTGTGTGTGTGTGTGTGTGTGTGTGTGTGTATTCCCTTGAAATAAAATCAAAACTTTTGTATTGGAGATGCACGCTATTTAACTATTAAAACTACCAAAGATACTCACGATTGAATGGTGACACATATTTATCTCCCACGGTAATGTATTCCATCTCACTGAAGAGGCCAATCCTCTCCATATCGGTTTTCCCTACTTCCCCAGGCATGATTGCGTCTTGGGGTGGTGACTTCAAAAGGGTCCTTAGATCTTCTTTTGCAACAAAATCCTACTTTACATTAAAAACTACAGAAAATTGTTTTTCTTAGTGGAAAAAAAAAAGATTATTAAATTTCAAACCTAATTCTTTTTAGTTTTCGGACCGGTCAGTTGTTCATCGGTCCTTTTATCTCTCACACACACACCCAACCGCCGCCCCCATCAGATCAACTTGTGCACAGCCTTCCCAAGCTTCATTATGGCCACCTAATGATGTAGGCAACCTTTGTTTCCCCCGTGAACTGATGGCTCCACAGTTGGGAACCATGGTATGAGGGTTGATCCTTTTCACCACACTCTTGAGGCAAAGGTTTTCACTAAGCTGCCCCCCTGGAAGGGAACCGCAGGAATCAAGGGGCCTCTGGCCTAGCCTCCAGAAAATGGCTAGAAGGACAAAGCCCTAACACCACCCTCCACTCCTTTATTTATCAATGTAGCCCCAGAGCCAGCACAGGCAGGGTTGAAGGCTCTTGTCGACTTTGTCCCGACCTTAACTCTTATGTAAACTTACAAAGCATTCATTCACATATTTAACAAATGCTTTGCAAACCTCTCCTCCTCCAGGTCGAAGTAGGAAAACAGATTTAAAAGGCATAAAACTTGGCTTATATAATCAAGTAGACAAGAAAATCGTGAAATTCCACAGAATCAGAATATAGCAAGTTCCCTTCAAAACGTTTGGATAAGAAGGTTCTTCTGTCATAGCCTTGCCCTCTGCAACCTTGCAATTTACTCAATAAATACTTTTCAGTGTTAAGGTGTTTTAGGAATATTTCTTAGACGAGCCTGGGTTGGGATGAGGCCCCCCGACTATAATAGATGGATGGAGAGGGTTGGCTAAAGGGAGAAAATAATTGAACTGAGTTATTTCAACTCAGGAAAAGGAGGCTGGAACTAGGCAGGTATCAAAGGAACACCCCATGTCCGCGAGGCCAAGTCACCTATTCAAAGGGCACCTGATCCCTCAACCAGGATCTGACGGCCCCAGCTCCAGTCGAGGTCCAGTCCACTGCAGAGCTTGGAGAGCTCAGGGACCGCGCGCCCGCGCCCGCGCTCACAGCACAGCTGCAGAGTGCCGCATGCAGCACAGTTCTGCCAGGCGCAGCTGACGCTTGTTGGGCCGAGTTGCCGAGGAAACGGGAGAAACCATTCTCAACAGGCTACGGGTGGCCTCCGGAACACTCGAATCCATACAGAACATCTGAAAAGATCGATGAACATCCGTAGAACACGAAAATCTCGACCAGAAAAAACAATCTCTCGAAAACTAAGCCTTCTCTTTCCCGGCCCTCTAGCCACCTGTGAACCGTTGCAGTGTGGTACGCTCCGTGACGGCTGATGCGAAGAATTCTGGGAGTTGTAGTCCGCCTGCCGGGGCCCCGCCTTCTGAGGGATTTGACGCCACTTCCGGGCCGATCTTGGCTTGCGGGAAATCGTCATTCCTGTCACCTCCAGGTGGTGAACCTGGTAAGTGATTCTGATTGTCAGTGACCCTCTTGTGTTTCCTCCTAGGACTTCAGCAACCGTTAGGAGAATGGCTCCAGTCCCCCGGGAGGAGCCGGCCCCTAGGGGCCAACGGTGGCAGTGCGAAATTTCCTCCCTTGGGTGTCCCAGCTGCCTAGCATCCGCACCTCAGCAGCACCCGGGGTCAGTCATTGCATCGTTGCCAGCGAGACACTCTTTGGCGAATTCAGGAGCTATGGAGAAAGAACTTTTGATTTTGGAAAGATAGGCGTAACTTCCTTCAAAGCGTCTGTCTACTCCCTTTGCTTACGTGCCACCGCACGCTCCCTGCTTTAGCTCTGGTCTCCTAGCTCGGCCAGCTCCTGCCATCTGTACCGTAGATGCTTATTTTTTCAGATATACTTGGCACCCTGAGCTTTTTCTCTTTTCTTCGGAACCCAACTCATAAATCTACTTAACTGCTTCCTTTTAAATACATCATTCAGACACAGCAGTTGTAGAGCTGACTCGTCATTTCCACCTCCAGCTCTCTCCACACTCTTCCTTCAGAATACACATCTTGGCAGATAACCCAGCTCACCCCTCTAGTGCCCACCGAACACTTGACTAATGTGCCCCATCTGAAGCCAATAGTCAAATCTTTAGGATTCTACTTCTGAGCGTCTATAATATCACCTTACCCTTACCATCTGAACCTTTGTCTTGCCATCATCCACTTGGGTCCTGTTCTTAGTGGTCTTTTGCTTTGCTTTGGTTTTAAGACAGTGTCTCACAAAATCCAGACCATCCTTGAACTGGCTCTATGGCCGAGAATGACTTTGAAATCCCGATCTTCCTGCCTTCACCTTCCTTGTGTTGGGATTACAGTCAGATACCACCACATCAGTCTTCATACTTGTTGTTTTAAGTAGGCCTTTCAGCAGTTGGTCACTCTGCCTGGAATGGGCACTTTGGCACACAGGCACATACACACAAAACACACACATGCACTATACCTCTTTTAAGGCTTCTTTCAATAGTTACTTGCCCTTCCGAATTCAGCATAAACATTACATCCCCAGAGAGGCTCGTGATTCAGAAGCCTAAAGAGACTCTGGGGCCTTCACATATGCTTTCTTAAGGAATTTTCATAACAACGCTGGGAAGCTGCATCTTTTTTCCTGCATTTACAGATGAGAACAGACATAGGTGCTTTATCAAAATCATACAGGAAGTACCTGAGTTAAAATTTACTCTTCCTTGTTGTTTACAACTTCAGTTTAAGTTTTTTTTTATTCAAATAGTAATATTGTTCTTTATCAAACATCTTACCGGGTGGGGCAGCAGTAGTGCACTCGTTTAATCCCAGCACCTGGGAGGCAGAGGCAGGTGAATCTCTCTGAGTTCCAGGTCAGCCTGGACTACAAAGTGAGTTCCAAGACAGTCAGAGAGTCGCAGGGAAACCCTGTCATTAAAACACACACACACACACACACACACACACAGAGAGAGAGAGAGAGAGAGAGAGAGAGAGAGAGAGAGACAAAAAGTTTCTTAGTGGTAGCTCACACAATATTTTCCAATCCTTTGGTTTGGTGTCTTATGATAACGGTAGGATAAATGGACAGCATTATGTAATAAACTTTTTGTTTGATTAGAATGAACTCCTTGAAGTGAAATTGGACATATGGTATGCTCTTTTAATCGGTTACAGTGGATGAAATAAATTAATGCTATCACTTACAAAAAAAAGTGACAAGAAATTTGCAAAATAAAAAACAGTAATGTTACCTCCTTCCTAGTGTTCTGAGGATCAACGATAATATCTACCCAGTGACTGGTCACTTAGGGCAGCAGGTGTGAGGACTTGCTCATTTGTTTCAGTATTGGGTGAACACAGAAGCTGTGCTAGTACCCTTGTGATTGCTGTAATAAGTCACCAGGCACATGACCAAGAGGTTAGTTGTGCTTTCGGTTCCAGAGATAGAGAGTCTATGATGGTGTTGGCAGAGGCATTGCAAAGCCTCCGGAGCAACAAATGAGAGCTCCCATCTGGATCCACACGCAGGAGGCAGAGAGCATCCTGGGATGGTGGGAGGTTCTTGAAGCCCCAAAGCCATCCTCCATGACATCTCCAGCAACATCACACCTCGTAATCCTTCCCAAACAGTCCCACCCACTGGGGACCAGGTCTTCAGATGTGAGCCTATGGGAGTCATTCTCGTTCAGAGCATCCCAGGTTCTTATTGTGTAATGTAGTTCTCCAGCCCATTCAGGGCCTGTTCGAGAATCTGAGAAACGCTCTGAAACATTTCCTCAAGATCAACCCTGCCGCCCCCTGGCACACACACACATAAACACTCATGGTACAAGTCTTTTGTTGTTTATCCTTTGCTACCGAAACTCAGCATGTGGATCCAAGTTAAGAACTGCTGGTCTCTTCCATTTTGCGGATGCTTTTTTTCTCTCTGTCAGTGGCAAGCATTGTCCCAGGCCACATCAATTCTGTCTAACATGCTTTCTCTAGCTATGTGCTATTCATGTTGCTGGCAGTTAGCTTAGCTTTGTTCTACTCTAATCTCGATGTAAAATCAGGGGTGGACCTTTTAAGACGGTGGGTTCTACCAGTGTCTACTCTCACCGTCAGTGGTTACTCTGCGCTCACTGGCTTAGCCACAGTCTCAGCATGTTTGACTCGGTGTTCTTGTCACATTCTTAAACTAGTTTTATACCACTGATGTCTTCATATGATTGTTAAATGCATCAAGACTATGATTAAAAGCTTTAATCCATTGGATCTCAACCGTTTTTTCACATTGTAATCAATATGAACGGAAGCAGGGAGGCTTTTACATATTCTTGTGCCTGGGGACAGCCATATGCCAATTGATTAGGATCTCTGTGCATGCCTTCTGGATGTCCCTACTCCTGGGTGTCAGAATTTTAAGCTCCCTGGGGGATTTCAGTATGAAATTAGGGTTTGAAAATGCTTTTTAGAATTTGCAGGGGCTGTTGTATATTTCTGCCTAAGGAATTATGTAACCCGTGAAATAAGTGCGGAATTAGTGCCGTGCCCTAAACTGAAGTAGATTCTGGTTTGTGTGAAGATGAGTTTGTTTTGCTTTACATGGGAATTATGTTACATTTGTTCTAGGTGATCCCCAAAACCATGGATATACTCTTCAGAATAAGAGGAGGCTTTGATCTGGCTTTTCAGCTAGCCACTCCTAAAGGTATGTCTTCCCAAAGTGTAAGGTCTGCCAGTACTGTGGGACGGTTTGCGAGCCAGGAAAGGGGCCTGGAGATTGAAACACACAAAGACAGAGACATGGGTCATCCTTGAATTCCCCCTTTATTGTGGTCCAGGGCAGCTTATATAGGGATCCTTAACTTATAGCCACGCCCCAGCCAAACCCACCAGAAACCACTCCCCTGCCATCAGGAACTCCTGAGGGTCTCCTGCAAACACAGAAAAACAAGTTGTTTACAGGAAATTCAGCGTCTGGGGCCCCCAACACCAAAGCTTCCTTATTATCAAATTCATAGTGATACATATTGAAGATAACATAAGAAAAATAAACTACACTCAAATTAAATGAAATTCAAATTTAGATTCTCTATTCTAATTTCCGACCAGCCCATAGGGCTCCTCTGTAAATTAAAAGATTTAACCTTCCTTTTGAACCTTTAGGGCTGTCTTGAAGAAAATCTCTCTCTCTCTCTCTCTCTCTCTCTCTCTCTCTCTCTCTCTCTCTCTCACACACACACACACACACACACACACACACACACACACAGAGGTGAAATATCCCGAATGAGCACAGTGTAACTAGACACCCAGAGCTGCGCACTGCAGCGCTGTCATGTGCGCTACCCCATGTCCTAGCACCCAACTCTCTTAAAAGCTGTAGTGTGTTGCAATGTTAGAAGAAATTCAGAGGAGAAGAAAATCAGCAGGATTTTTATAGAGCTAATTCCAGGAAGTCTTCTGCTTCTGGCTGAGGCTAATGCTGAACACTGAGACAGACAATACCCAGGGAGGAGTATGGGAAATTACAGCCCAGACGCCATGCTTTTGAGATGCCGCTGGGACGTCTTGGTTGACTTGGTTGACTCTGAAGCTCAGCGGAGAGTGGTCGGAACGGGGTGGAGAATGTGCGATTGGAAGGACACGGCTAACTGTCAGTAAATGAAATTGTCCCTGACAATGCGTCGGTGATCTTAGAGCCACAGTCATTCGGAAGATAAGGGATGAAAGTGAAGGGGGCACGAAGAGTGACTGCAAGCGGGCAGAGCTTCCCTTTGAGGGGGTGAAAACTTTTATAATGATCGCTTTTTAAAAACGCTAGTATAGATTGTAAATTGTTATAGACACTCTAAAAGCCATCGGATGAAATTTATGGTCTCAGAATCCTAAAGGCAGAGAGGCCAGAATTCTGATAGTGATTGAAAAGCAGAGGGCGGTGTTTGAGAGTCCCGTCCACTGTGTTC